CCCCCCCCCCCCCCCCAGCTCACAATGACTTTGCGAACTCTGTCGAATTTGCGACATGGTAGCTATCAGACTAGAACACCAATCAGTACGTATTATTTGCTATTATTGGCATTTAAAAATAATTGAGTTTTTAGAAACCTAAAAGCAGGACATTGACAAACGAGGTCATCTATGCAAGGTGTTGTAGCTTAAATCTATGCATGGAATTAAGGTGTTGTAGCTTAAATCTCATTCATCAGGTTATGGCATTGTATTTAAATTTGATTTCATAACCATCTGTGCAAGATGATTTCAATTTTATTTTATTATGCTAATCACAATGTGTTTTAGCAATACTCTGTTCAAAAGAGGAAGATGAGATAGGGAATTTGGAGAGAAAATTTAAAATCGAGGATTCATTAATGGCCGTATCCATCTAATTTTATTTCCATGCCACCGTCGTTGTATGTGGCAAGTTGCGCTGTGCTGGACACAAATTGGGCGGCAGACGAAAGGAAAAAATGTTTGCTTTACATGTTTATGACAATGACTAGGAGAAACAGATGTCAAACATCCCACGATGAGTTTCAGCCAACTGGAGAAGTCGGCTTTGTTGATTACCATTACCCTGGAATGCCAAACGCGCTTCTTTTATTCCACTCAACACAAGTGAAATACTTTCTTGTCCCACGGGTTGTTTACGGGTCCGTAGCCTGTGTTCGCCTCGCATTTTTAGATGCAGGTGAAGATATTCAATTGTTGAAAAACAGAACGTCTGATTCAAAGTGGTTTTACTGTCCCTTGCTTGCGATTAGTGTAAAAGAACGTAATTAATTGACCCTATCTAGACTGTGGATGGGGGTGGGGGGTAAATGTTCCCGCGCCAACTTTTCATGTCACATAATGTCTAAACGGCTTGCGCTAGAACCACTAAAACTGCATAGCTGGCAGAAATACACGGCTTAGGGCACAGCAAGTAAATTTTATGGATGACATCCTCCGCAGACTCCAAATCTAATGCGAGCGGGCGAAAAAAAACAAGGCAGGCCGAAAAAAACAAGGTTCCTACATTTTTAAATTTTGACTCAATCATTCTACAAATGGGTTTTAGTCAGTGGGAACATCACATATACACAGCCAGCATCACATATCACTGCATCAAAGTAAGAAATAAAACATTAATATTAAGAGCCTTTTCTTGTCTCCTCTCTGCCATCCACCTTCCGGCATGGCAACAGACATCTTTGCCCATTTTCGGTATGTTGACAACTGTCAGAAGGCAACAAAATTTCTTGTTTTTTTTTTCAAAAATCAGGCGAAAATCAATGCGCGCGCTGATGTCATCCTGGATTCCATGCAAATTACTTGCTGTGGCCTTACAGTGAGATTAACTCTTCACATTCAATGGGGATTTCCAGCTTACAGCAAAGAGATAGAATCTCACCATGCATCTTTAATCTGTGCTTGTCTGGAACAAGTCCAAATACCAAGGTGACTAAGCATTTCTGCGCAGTGACCATGCCGATGTGACGTGTGTGCTACAACTCTAAGTTTAGCGTTGTTGTCATGGTCTAACGCTACATGTCCTTGGTGTACATGTACCTGGCCTCGGCTGGCACAGTAAGGCCACAGCAAGTAAATTCTATGGATGACATCCTCTGAAAACTCCAAATCTAATGCGATAGGGCGAAGAAAACAAGGCGGGTCAAAATAAGATTCCTACATTAATTTTCGAACTTTGACATCATTTGTTGTTAAACGATACCTATATTGTGCTAAGTTTACTGCCAAATATTACAACATCCATTTCACACTGAAACAACTTTTGTAAAAATAGTTTTGATTCAGTGGGAACATCACACATAAACACAGCCATCATCACATACAAAGGGAAGAAATGCGTCACTGCATCAAAGTATAAGACAAAACATTAAATCAGAGCCTTGTACTCGTATTGTCTTTTCTCTTCATATTCATCTGCCATTCACGTTCCGGCATGACAACAGACATTTCTACCCATTTTTGGCATGTTGACCACTGACACTGTCAGAGGGCAACGAAATTTCTTGTTTTGTTCCAAAATCAGGTGAAAATTAATGCGCGCGCTGATGTCGTCCATAAAAAAAACTGTTTGCTGTGGCCTAACATTGACGTTACGTTCTGCAAATCTAGTCTTTGTAATTCGTCAGCAGACCGGGAATTTAGCACATTCCTTGACCTGATCAACAACGAAAACCCTTTTAAGAACAAAGTCCCCGCTGACTGACGCCTTCAGTACGTACTCTCACCTGCACGGAGAGTAAACACGGCGGCGGGAAGACGTAACATAACACCTGCTTGTCTTAGGTCACCCCTGGGTCACCAGGTATTGACGTCTGACCTTTGTGGGGAAGGATTAAAAAAGGGG